TGATCACCACCCCATCTCTCTCTCTGTTTTCCTTCCCCTTGTAGCTAAACAAGAGCTTGTGTATGACCTGAAACAAAATGATTGACCTTGTCAGTGGAGCACCTTCAATAAAATGCATGGAAAGGAAGGGCAAGATTGTGGCTAGAGCGCATACCTGGGTGATGGCGGAGGGGCTCCCGCCGGTGTAACTGCCGAAAGGGCTGCGAATCCCACAGCTCTTCTTTGCTTCCATCGTAAGCAGAATATTTGGGAAATGCTAAAAACATTTGACTCAATATTTAACAACCCCTTTTTGAACCTTCCAAAATACCTTATCATGTCTGTTTTCATTGGAAATGTGCTTTGTGTACTTAGTGGTTACATTTGAACTAGCACTACTGCCCATAAGCATGCTCTCTTCTACTACACCCACTTGCAGAGTCAGTTGACTTCACAGTTGCCTGTGCCTTTTTTTTTTTACTCTCATTTGGTACCATGAAATTTCCCCTATGTCCATCTCTTCCTTATAGTAACTGTTGTATGTGCCGTATTTCCTCTCTATTGTTTAATTTCAAGAGTTTAATATAATGAAAAGAGTGGTAAGAACATTAGCTGTTTTTTGTCTCATGCAAATAATTTAAAATCTTTGCAATGTTTAAGCAAGATTGCTTAAAAGTACAGATGGTGCTTGCAATATAGTATTTTTTTTTTGTAATGAAAGTGTGAATTACTGATGGAGTTAAACCTGACAATTATTGGAGGTTAATATTTTAACTGCAAGGTCTCCTGAAATGGCTGCACATGTGGAGAAATACACAAAGCATTAAGTGAAATGCTCATGTTTGCTTGATTTATTCTCTGCAGCAGACGGATTCTGGTAGTAGGAGGTGTAATTTGCAGCACATTAGCTATTAGCCAGTGTCATTGCTTGAGTGGGTGGTGTGAGTCTCTTGTGCCTGTAGTGTCATACTGCGCATGTCTCAGAGCTGGGCGCTGCTCCCCTGTGCTGTAAGATGAATTTTCTGTGAACAGTGTTTTGTATTTAAAGCTGTGAATCTGCCAGTTTTCAAACGGGTTATTCTGTCACATGGATAACATCTATGCTTGTTGATTTGGGGTTTTTTGGGGGGGCAGGGTGCCCTCCTTTTTTTCCCCAAATTCTTTATGTTTTGCAAAATGGAATTGGAGAAGTGTTCGACTTCACAACCTTTTTTGGTATGTGGTTCCCTGAGGATGAAGTATGTAATTTGCAAGACACTCAGCCTGTAACTTAGAGCAAGCAAAAATCGTGCTAATGTTTCTTTTTTGGGTACCATATGCATGTAGGTGTGGTGTTCAGCAGAGGCTTTCCAAAAGAGTCTCAGTTTGATTCATCTTTTTTTGTGTGCACAATTTCACTCGGGTTGCTTTTAGTTCACTTTTTTCCCTAGAGGCACCTGTCTCCTGCCACTTACCCATCAACACTAATTGCACCATCTGGAAGACTTTTGTGTAGCTGTTGCTTGTGTGGAATATCTCTTGGGAGCTTAATTCAGAATGTGAATGTGACCCCTGAAGCCATGTCAAGTAGCTGCAGTAGTTTCTTGTGTCTAAAGGATGATCACTGTAGGCTTTATTTGTTTCACGTCTAATGCGGTTTGCTTTAGTGTGGATATGTTATATGTCAGTAACACAACTTCGGTCATGTTTTGAATGGAATTAGACTTTGACTACTGGTTTTGTAATTCATAGAAAATCCTGTCTAAAATTATATCCAAACCATATGTAACATATAGGCTCTATGGTTAGGTGTAGAAACGACAGGCATGTTGCTCCTTATTATTACATTATTTAATTTTTGTGTCCTCTTCTTCCCCCCCCCAGCTGCACTTCTCATTAATAATTTTCTGCCAAGAATGCAAGGCGTTCTTGCTAGGCGTGTTGCAACTCCCCTGAACAGCTCTGAGTGCTTGTTTTTGTTATTGCTATGAAACTGAGTATTTTCAGCAGAGGTGATTTTATGCTTCTTCACCTAGCCTGACTTGGGTAAAAGCACTGTAGCGCTTCAGTTCTAGTGGTATCCATCTAGGCAGTGGCTTATTTAAAGGCCAGTGCTTTATAATCCTATGGTGAACACTTTTCTTCTCTACTTGTGTAATACCCTGTCCCGTGGCAAGCTGTAGAGCACTGGGCATGAGAAACCAAAGTGTTCTGATTGTTAAAAGTATCACCATAAACTGCCTTTTTTTTGTTTGTTCTGTTTTTTTTTTTAAAAGTGCTATTAATTTCTCCCGGGATCCTGAATTTAGTTAGGCACTCTGATTTTACCAGCATACATATGTGGAAAAAAGTAATTTTTTCCTAAAACCATTTTTCTTTAAAAATGGTGGAGTTGTAAATAGCGTTGAGGAAATATGTTTGTGTTTAGTTGCATCATCGGCGTAACTTGTGTGGTTGTGAGTAATGTGGTCAACTGACGTTCAAGACAGGAGTACTTACACCACCACAAACAATTATGGATTCTGTATACAGGATGTATACACACTATATATTATTCATTATAAGTATTTTCTGGTTTTTCCTGGGTAGTTTAATGTTCATTGTGGCTCTTCGGAAATCTACAGAGTTTAAGTGTTGAACTCTCTTGGCTGCATTCTATTAACTGTATTTTGGAACTTGGTAAGAAAAGTTTGTGTGCTTGGTATGCAAGTTATAAATTTACAGAATGCTAAAGGCAAGCAGCTGTCCCCTCCTTTTTAAAATCCCTCACTACATGTATCCAGTAAGCAAAATAAAGGTGGACATTGCAGGACCGCAGCACATGCTCTTGGGGAGAGTTCTGAGCTGTGCAAGCTTTCCTGGGTTTGAGTGGTTGGGAAGTACCTGCAGGACTGGTCTACAAAGAGAAATCATTTTCTGCTCTGGAAAGTTATAAAGTATCTTCCTGTCACTGTTTTTTTTATGCAGTTTTATTCAAGGTTGTTGGTTTGATTGGGTTTTTTTGTTTTGGTTTTGTTGTTGTTGTTGTTTTAAAAGATCTTTGAGGGTGGAAGAAGTGAGAACTGGTGGCTTTATGGCATGGTTTCTCCTCAGGGAGTTATGTCTGAATCTCATGTGCTAAGTAGTAAAATCTGTGCTGAATGTCTTCCACATTTAATTGTCTTATTGCAGATTAAGATTGGTGGCTGGTGCTCGCTTTGGCTAAATTTCAGCTTTGACTGTAACCATTTGGTATCCACTTGGTTCTTAAAACTCTGATTTAGTTGAACCAAACTCTGTTACTGTCCGAGGCCAATACACACTTGCTCTCTCTTTTGGGCATATAGCAGAAGTTGATACTTTCTCCAACACCACAGCAGCCCGTGTTGCTGAGACCATGGGGTGTAGCTCTTCCAGGCTTGGTACACCCCACCCCTAAGTTGTCCTGGGTGAGCCAGCACATTAGTCTACAGGTAAAGCAAATGGGATGTGGGCTTATTAGAAAGGCACAGAAGAAAAAGCCATGTCCTCCTTTGGCTCATTAGACCCCACCAGAGCTAAAAATGTTGTGGGTTGTGGTAGAAAGCCATACTGGCCTCCTCTTACGCTAATCATCAGTGGCATTGGTAGGCTGTAGCGAGCTGAGGGTGTCTCTGGAGGAGGAAGTATTAGCCTGGAGTTGGTGCAGGTGTGAAGGTCAAGCCCATTAGCTGTCTAGTACCAGCTACCTGGACGGACCCTCTCATTCTTCTCCTAGAGCTTTTTGAGACACATTGTTTGGGCCACTTCCCCATGGCTGTAGGAAAGCTTGTAAAGACATAAGAAGTCAAGATTTTTTTTTGCAGTAGCACAGGAACTTTCACACAGAAGGGTGCTATTTAAATTACGATTTTTTTTTTAATGTTTAGGTGTGTGTGTAAATGAAATGATGTATTGAAGATACTCTTGCATTGTGAAGTGCTATAAATGTAATGAAAAAAATCCAAATGAAATGTTAGGTTGCATCTGTTTTCTTTATTCAAACAGACTTCCAAGATCAACATCTTAGATTTTCATTTAGATGTTTTAAAGACTGTTCTGTTCTGAGTTCCTTCAGTGATTAGGCCTAAAATTGTAGTTCTTCATATAGTTTATTTAACAAATATTTAGGTTATGTCAGAGATATGGGCTCTTATTTATTGGAAATTAATTTACAAATTTGATAGCATTTGGAAGAAAGGATGATACATCTCGCTATTTAGCCTTATTGATGAACATAAGAAGTAGAAAGCAGCTTGACAAGGGCGGGAAGAATACAACTGGAGATGTTGCAGTCAAAAAGGAAAACTAAGCTTGCTTTAAAAGAAGTTAATTTCTGAGATGATGTATCGAAGTGGTCATTCAGAATTTCTTTCAACAAAGATGTGTTTGGGGGCAGTTTCCTTCTGACCCCAAATTTAAAGGTGCAGCATTTGAAACAGTTCTTTTGTTTAAAACAGCCTGTGTCTACTTCATTTATCTCTAACTTTTATTTTACGTCTTTCATCAGTTTCTGCAAAGTCTATTCCTAATTTACTTAGACATGTTGTATGTATTGTGCAGTCTGTTCATAACCACTCTGATCTAAACAGTTTTCTTTCAGCAGGTTATAGATTTTGGTTGTACCTTTCCTCCTTTCCCTTTCTTCTCTTGAAATACAAGGCTTCTTTTGGCTTTTTTGTACTTCAAACAACTAACTGAAAGCTCTTACATTCCTGTTACAGTAGATCACATTGAATTATTCTGAAATACTCCTTTCATGACATGACGTGAAATGGAGGACATATGCTGCTCCTTGGAAATAAACCAGATTTAATCCCGAACACTTGCTTTTCTCTGCAATAGTAGTACTTCTTTTTAAGTGTCAGGTAAAGGATGACAAAAGATCAGATTAATAATTGCAGCTTATTTCCATACAAATGTGAATATTGAAGACTTGATGAAATGATGGCAGTCTGAGGTCTGAGTCTTTCTTTCCACTTTAGTATGACCAGTGAAAATGGATTATGAAAACATGCTTTTTTTTTTTTCTTTCCTTTTTGCAGGGGTTTTGTGTACGACAGCCGAAATAATTTACAGATGCGAGGTTTGGTCGTATTGCTTATTTCCAAAGCTGCTGGACCCAGCGCAGCAGAACTCTCTTTCCAGCACAACATGGTCAGTGGAATTTATTCCAGGTATGTAGTAACATTCTTTAGCAAGATATGCTAAGGTACATTTGATGTGCAACTTCATGGTGGTATCTAAGCATCTTAAGTGGCCTGCTCGGATGTTAAGGAAAGTCAGTACTTACCTAATCACAAAACTTTGTTCCTCAAGGTTGTTATAAGCTTTCCATGGTGAAAACCATTTCCTACTCTTTATATAGCTCTTATAATATTCATGCCTAATTCTTAATTGTGGCTTTGGGCACAGCTAAATTAAAAACATTTGGATCAAGGTAATTATTTGAGAGTTTATGTTAAAAGGTACACAATCAAAAAGTAAAGATGCTAGAAACTATTTTTAGTAGAGTATTTTTGTTTTCAGTTACTTGGATGTTACTCAGGTACACCTACTTACTAGGAATTTCACTGTCAGACTGCCAGTCTTGTGGAATTCCAGTTAGCCTCACCGAGTACATAATCTTTGCTATAGCCCCTTTTGAAGAACGTTTCCCCCCAAAAACAACAGTTTAAAATAAAGTTTTTACCTTCCATGTGTCATGGCAGAATTACTGAGCTTACCATTAAGGTTCCTCAGGCTTTCACTGAGATAACTCAGCTTCATTAAGTTCCTAAATATTTTTTTTAAGTATTTAAACTAAATTATTTAATACTAGTAACAACAGTAATCAAAAATAGTGGTTGCTCTCCTTTCTATGTTTGACAGTTAACTGTTCCACTGAAATAAATGGTGTTAGTGAGATCTGGCTGAAAAATTGTAAAATTTTCAATTTTTGAAATCCTTTTGAAAAATTGTGAGTGGTGTTTGGTTGAGGGAACAGACTGTCATATTTTCACTGAATTTTCTGTGAAATTTAAATTGTTTCTGATGTATTAAATGAAGACACACAAACTTAGTGACACATTTGTATCCTGATTTGGTTTAGAAATGCAGGGGTAGCACTGTAAAATTGAAAAGACCAAATAGATGTCAAACTATCTTAAAACAATAGAGAAAGAAGGGAGATATGACAGACAGAAATAACAATAAGTAAGAAAAAAGACAAGGCTATGAAAGAGACTTGTTATGGAAGGCTGTGGTGTCCCTTTAGTGGTTTAATTCCAGTCTTGTTTCGTCCTTAATGTCCCCTTAGGGTTGTGAAATTTTTATATTTATATGCAAATGATGCAGTATGAAAGCATAATTCTAGTTAGTTAATTATAGCACAGGAGGTATTTTAGTTTGTTTTGTAAACGATTAAAAAAGTTTACCTTAAGTATGCCTCATAAAAGAAGAGAAGAAACATTATTTTTTGATAACGAAGTTCTTGAGTATGATGATTCTGGCCATGGACGTAACGTCTGAATGTTTAAAGCTGCCGTTGGGAAGGTGACTAGTGGAAGTATTCATTAAGGAGCAAATAAGACCTTGAATTAATAATGAGCCAGTTGGTGTAAATGGACATCATTGGAACTATGCCAGATCAACCAGCTGAAAATCTAGCCTAATAATCTAAGTTTGAGCAAGTCAATAGCCATTATAATATCTAGTTCAGAGTTACAAAGGTACTCCAAAAATGAAGCAGTTTTGAATACGCCCACACAGGTTCACTTAAGGTTCATTACTGTCTGCAAAAATGATAGTTATGGAGTTGTTAATTTAAATGGATTTTCAATGACACTTTAAATCTGTAGCATGGCATAAATACGAGCAAACTGATGCACGCTAGGAGAATGCCAATGCGTTGTTTCATTTTGTGCCATAGTGCCCAGTTTTTGCCCTTCACTGAAGTCACTCTGGGCTTTGCCTTTGACTTTGGAATCTTTCTTTATTTAACATACATTTCCAAATACACTCTTAAATGTGAGTCTAATTTCTGATTTTGATTTCTCCATTGTATAAAGAGAACAGACAGCTTGTAAAATTGTCATCTTAAAGGGCTTTTGTGATTCTTTTATGTATTCCAAATTACAAACAGCTTTCTGCTGAATAAGAACAAAAGGACAACGTTTTCCATTAGTACATTTTTGTCTGCTATCTTGGTTATGGTGTAATTGTATATGGTGTATATATATTGTATACTTATCAAAGGCAAAGTATATCCCTCAGTGATATAAAGTGAAGAAATACGCTTAATCCTTTAGTGTTCATATATGTCTCCAGCTTTAGAAAGTATTTTTTGGAAATAGATTCTTAAAGATTTTCAGCTCAGCTGTAAACCATACAGCTCTTTTTGTTGCCATGCCATATAATTACTTCATCTTTATATAAAATATTTTGCTGGAAATATTATTTCTGGCACCGTAATGAACATCTTCATTGCCCGATACTTACGTGCTGTGAACGTTATATTGTGGACTATTAGCTGGGATATGGCTCACTTGATTTTAGGGTACTTAGTAGTGATTAATTAATTGCATTCCTGAAATCCGAGCACGAGCTAAGTTGTTCCAGTACTTGTCAGCGATTGCACCAGCCCAGTCTTTTTTTCCCCACTGTTTGTGTTGGAACCAGCTCTTGTGCTCTCTTTAAATATTCGGTCCCACAGTGGATAGCCAGGTTACATCAGTCAGCTATATCTGGTACTGCACTAAACATACAATCTGTGACCAGGAAGATGTAAGAGTGTGATAATTATTTAACTTAGAAAACCACAAAAAAACACGGTGGACTTTTTCATCCTGGAATCTGGCATGTTCTGCATAACCTTTTCTCCCCATTTCATATTCTTGAATCGCAATATAAGCAAGCAATACAATAACTATAATTAAAACAGAAAGGCACTGAGAGCTGAATTTGGAATAGCCAAATTTTTTTTTTATCCTATTCTCCTGATCTCTAGATATGTCAATTCATGGGACAATTGACCTAAATGTATAAAAATAGATTAGCTAGCTGCTTAGCTGGCATCTGTTTTTTACTGGTACACAGTGGAAAAAAAATGATGCCTGCTATCAGAGAGCAATCTTTTCCAGAATAATGAGGTTTACAATTTAGGTAGTTACAGGAACTGGGCTAGTGTAGTTATATGGTGTTGCCTCTGGCCGGTGTTGCCTCCAGCTTTAGCACTTCATAATTTGCAGGAGACGTGATCTGCCCGCATTAAGCTGGGGGCGTGGGGGTCATTCTATGCAAGGATATCATAGTAACTGCTGGTTGCCTTATGAGCCATGCTGAAGATAAGGGGGGAAGTGTTATAAAAGCCTGCTTGGCATGCTTTACTCTGTACAGCCACCTCCCTAGCATGTTGCCAGCAACCTGACTTTATTCCTATTGGCGGGGAAAAGAACCTGGCTTTACTTCCAGCTCAGCACCAATGATCCCAAAAGAGGATGAGGAGGAGAAGTAGCAGCATGATAAACAGCTCTATTTCAGCTGCTGGACAGATTTCCTAAAGTTGAAACTTTCTGCTGGTCTCTTAGGCTTTAGGAAAATATTTCCTTGGCTGCAGAAGCATTGCAAACGTAATGATGAAGTGCAGTGCTCACTACAGAATATGCAAGCAATATCATGCAAGGGTTGATGTCATTGCCTGTACTCAAGCAAAGCATGCATCCCATATTCCCTTGAAACTCCTTCCTACTCCTGTGCCGAAGAGAAAGCAGAACTCACATTTGGGTTTAGGCTGAATCTAAGTAATGGTAGTTTATCATGCTAACAGTATCAGAGAACACCTTAGATGTGACACAGGAGCCTAGAGCTCTGTAAGAGGTTTGAGACCCATTTCCTAACTGGTGATCATACTATGGTCTGACACTGTTGCCTTCTTTCAGAGCAAAACTCACTTGGATAGCCACGTATGCAGCTTGCTGTTCTTTTACTTTGCTGCTGGAAGTGAGGTTTTTTAATTGAAGTTCCAGGATCATACGTTTCTGGACACTTACAGATTTACACTTCATAGCTGGAGCTAGATTCTTACAGTCGAAGATACCAAGACTGGCTTGGGTCCTTTCACTAAATACCCAAAGGGGTATCTTTTTCTGTTCGTGTTTGGCACTGCCAGACACAACTGGCTAGGGACTGAAGAATCTCCTTGGCTTTATATTGACTAATGATTTTCTCACATAACCTCTATATTGCAGCTTAAAATGCAGGTGATACCAAAGAACAAATTTATGCCATCTCTTCAATATCCTTGGCTCTAATACAGCAAGTTATTTTCTTCTCTCTCTGATGTTTTGCCTATTTTTTTTTTTTTTTTTGCCATTAGTGCCAGTTTCAAAAATATCCTCAAGCACTGACATCCATTGAATCAGCTTTGCAGATTTCCTTGGATGCTTGTCAGAGGTTTGGGGAAGGGAAAAAAAAAGTATCCTTTTTTCAATCAGATCTGCTAGTGCATTCACACCGGTGGATCCTATAGCAATTGACAAGCAAAGTCGTTTTTATTCTACCAAACTCAGCAAGTGTGTGTCAGTGTGTGGAGTGGAATATAGAAAGTACTATTTCATATCTGTACTGAAACCTGGTAAATCCAGGAAACAGATTGCTGGATTGGTACTGTCAAGACTGGTCTCTGTCTCTGCCTCTTCTCCCTCAGAATGGTGCAGCTGGCCTTTAAAACTCCAGGAATTAACCTCTTGCAAGATGAACATGCGTTCCTACAAGAGGAAGGTACTCACTGGATAAACTTGTCTCTGAATCAGAATTCTTCCTGCTGCTTGGAAGAGTTGTGGTAATACTGTAGTGACAGTAATCATGAACATATACTCCTTTTACTTAGTGTCCTAGTCATGATTTTGGAACCAGCATTGATGCTGCTTCCAACAAAAGCCCAATTTAAGTGGAAGTTAGCAACAGATGCTGACTGCTTGTTATGGTGATGGGTCCTTTGCTGGTCAGGTTCCAGTAGTAATTCTTACTAAGTGCCCTGGGGTAGCCTTTTTTGGAGAGACACACACATCACACAGTCTGATTTCATCTGTTCTTTGTCATTGTGGCTATGCCAGAGTCATCTTGTTCTCACCTTCTTTAAAGAAACATTGATTTGCAACTTAAAGGTCTCCAAGAAAACCAGTTCTTAACAAGAGGG